TCCAATCATTTTTCTCGTATTCTTTCTTCTTCCTCTTGTTCTGCAAACTTATGCAAGATCAAGGATCCTCCTAAACTGCTTACAGAAAATTTTAGCCAACTGGTCAAAACGAATGGCCATTGCTTTCAATCTACCAAACATGAAACATTTATTCTTTTCAAGGCTTGACTAGTTCTCCATAGGAACTATTCAGCATTGTCAGCATAAACCTACGAACACTAAGCGAAGCATTTCAATCTTTAAATCAAGTCCTTGTTTGGTTTTCACTATGGATTGAACACTAACAGACATGCGCGCGCAAATACGACTTCCAATACTGTTGCATAGAAAGATCTAAATTGCCCCTAGAGAATGAAAGAAAACTGGGTAAGACTTTAAGAATTGGTCTATTCATTTCATTATATACTTTGAACAAACTCCACATTTACATCTGATATCACTGAAAATTTGAAAAACAAATTTTGTATAAATTTGAAAACCATCATCACCTATAGACTTGAACAATGTACAATTCTTAGTTAAAGTGGCTCCTAGGGGTCAAATACGGAGCCTCATCAGTACTGGGTCTGTTTCCAATAACATCCAATGTTTCCTCAGTATCATTTGGTAAAACAGGCCTAAGTCTCACCCTTGGTTTACTTGCAGGTAACAATGGAACCGGTGCTTCTCCCTTGAGAATCCTAGCTGCATCTCTCACTCTTGGCCGGTTCTCGTGGTCCGGGTGAACACATAAAAGCCCCACCATGAGCATCCTCTCCATCTCTCTCACATCAAACTTCCCTATCAACCTTGGGTCTCCTGCTTCAACCAGCTTTCTTCTTTCCCACATCTTCCACACGTAATCTACAACCACAGTTCCATCATCATCCACTGGTTTCCTCCCAGTAGCCACTTCTAGCACCACTACGCCGAAGCTGTACACATCAGTCTTGACAGTTGGAACACCAGAATATACATATTCAGGTGCAAGGTACCCCATTGTTCCCGCAGGTAAAGTAGCTTCTCTTGTGTCACAACTATGCTCATAGACTTCAGCTAGGCCAAAGTCCCCAAGCTTGGCATTGAAATCTGCATCGAGCATTATATTGCAGGTCTTTACATCTCGGTGAATGATTTGCCTCTCACATTCTTCATGAAGATAGGTAAGGGCAGAAGCAACCCCCAGAATTATGTTCACCCTTTGCTTCCATGAAAGAACCAATGAAGAATTGTAGTTCTTGTGCAGGATTCTGTTGAGGCTACCATTGGGTAGGTACTCATAGACAAGTACTAACTCAGACCCTTCACAACACCATCCTTGAAGCTGAACCAAGTTCTTGTGCCTTAAGCAACCTGCCATGGTGGCAAACTCAGTGGTGAAAGGATTGTGCACATAATCCATACTTTCACTGCCATTATTAACCTTGCCAAATCTTTTCACAGCAACATCTCCTCCATATGGAAGAGACCCTTTATAGACTTTTGCTGATGTTCCTTCCCCAACAAGTCTGTCTCTACTAAATCCCATCGTGGCTGAGTTGATTTCAGAGAGTGACAGTCTTGAGGGTAGATTTGTGGTTTGGAATTCACAATGTTGGTCTTCTCTCAGAGGATTTCCATCACTTCCCTTTCTTCTCTTTGACAAGAATATGCAGATTAATAATGCAGAGACAATAAATGCAGCGATGCCTCCCAGCCTAAGAGCCATCTCCTCTAGCTTCTCTCTTCCATAGTGAGCACTATCAATCTGTTGAGTAGCTATGGTAGAAGTCTCTGGATGACAAAAGAAACAGTCTCCTTCTTCTACCATATCCATAGAATTCATTGAACTAATAAACCCAAAAGTTTTGAATTGCCAACGGTCGATAATATGAATACCTGAGCCCATCACATTGGACGCAGAGAAACCAACATGCATAAACTCCTTAAGTTTCTCAGAGAGGTCAATTTGAGCAATCAAAATAGGGGTTGGAGGCCGATCTGGAGAATGACCCACCCATACGCGAACAATTTTCTGGGCATCTCTGTACTCAATCCAAGCTGTAATTTTTCTCCCACTCTTCAGATCAATTCCTTCAGAGATAGCATCCACTGAGGCGATAGATATGATTGTATCAACGTCGATACCAATGTGATTCCCATTAATGTCACCCAGTGGAGGGTCAAAATTGGTGTCAAATTCCACGGCAAAATAAGAATCTTGCTGATTTGCAGATAGAGATGGGAGACCCATATACCCACGAGAGAAGCTGACCAAGTCGGTGTCGGAGATGATCATGAAGGCAATGCCATCGCCAGAATGACACGAAGGCGAGGAGACGATTGAAAAAGTGAAGCGACAAGAGAAAGAAGCCGTAGAGTTCGTCTCAGAATCAAGAAACCGAACCGGGTTTACATAGAAAGCTCTTCCAACCCCAGAAGAGGAGGAAGGAGAAGAAGAATGGTGGCAACTGAGATCTTGGGTGAGACTAATGGCGTTATTTCCGAAATAGGCGTCACCAAAGAGGGTTACGTTTTGTGAGGGCAAGAAAGGGACAGAAGAAAGTGGGGGAAAATTGAAGATGATAAAGAAAAAGAAATGGGCCCACAAGAAACGCGGATAGAGCGAATGCATTGCAGAGTCATAAGTGTAGGATCAGAGTAAATGCAGAAACTTGCAGGAGAAAGAGTGAGACAGAGAAAGTTTCTGGGCATCTTTTGATTGTTTCATGAGCTTGGAGGGAACTGGAAAAGGCAGAATGCAAGAAGCGGGAGAGAGCGACGTGGGTATTGGATCTGTATCCGCATGTTTCGGATTCGGGTTGGGTCATCCAATCCTCCGGAAAGCCACAAGGGGGCGAATCCGGGTGACACGCACACAATTACGAAATGATCGAACATTCAAACAACACTAAAAAGAAGGAGGAAGAAGTTTAAGGGGGAAAAAAAAGAGGTAGAAGATAAAATTATACCTTATATATATTTATTTTTTTATTATTTGATTTTTATTATTAATATTACGTAACTATGATCATAAAAATTATATGATTTTTTTATTATGATAATATATAAAACAAAGCTCAAATTTATTTTTGGTTTATCTTAAATTTTTCTAGTTTCATTTTCATCTCTTAATTTTAATTTGGCTCAATCTTGCTTCTTAAAAGGTTTTTAATTTCATTTTCATTTATTAATTTCAATTTATCCTTTTAACATCACTTTTAATTTTGTTTTCATCCCTTAATTTTGTTCCAAGTTGGCAAGTTCCAATTAACATGATGCCCGTGAGATGCACAGGTTAAATTTTTTTAAAAAAAATATATATTTTAACAAAACATATCTTTTTTAAAAAAATTTTATTGTTTCAAGTTCCGACTAGCATGTTTGGGAGTTTCATAAGTTCTCAAGTAAACCTTCCTATGTATTTTCTCCTTTCTTAAAGGTATTTTCTTTGCTAAGCAAACATTCTTAAGATCCAAGTTTTCTATTAACAGAGTACTCTAGGAGAACAAAGAAATTAATAAAAAAAAAGCAAAAATTAAAAGTTGTGTTAAAGCTTTAAGGTTATACATAACCTCCTAACCTCTAAATATTGCTTAATATATTGTGATAAGTTATTAACTCGCCAGAATGAAATGTTAAGCATGTTGATTGTTGCTTGAAGAAGTTCTTGTGCTTAAAAAAATGCTTTGGGCCGTGTGTATTAACTTTTTTTGACCTATTGCACCCAAATGTGAAAGTTATGATATAAATTGATTTGGTTATCCTTTTTGTTGAGCTTGCTTATTTATATGATTGGCTTATGTTAATGAGATTTCCCCAAATGTCACCCCAAGTTTCAGACATTTTAGGGCCAAGCACATCCAAAAAGAACTAAAGTTTGGTCACATGATTGAAGCTTGCAATGCTCATTTTGTTATGTTATGTCCTTGAGAATGTAGTGTTTATTTTGTGATGATGTTAGAAACTTAATTATGTGATAAAATTATATGCACTGAATGACGTGGTTGTAAGACTATAGTTTGACTCTTTTGTATGTTAAAATTTGATTGGTTCACTTCCATGCCAAGATTTAGCTAAAGGACCAAATTCAAAGTGCAATTATATTAAATGCTCATTAGTCACCACTATAAGCAAAACTGAAAATTGACGGTTATGTTACCCAACAAACGACGATTCAAAACAGTCATTTATTAAACTATCATTTAAAGTTTTACCCTTTAGTTGATGATTTTTAATTTTAATGATCAAATACGTCTAAAGGAAATTATGGTTAAATGAAAACCGTCAAATAAAAAGACCAATTTGATCCTCTTGTTGAGGAAGATTAAATTTGACATTATTCTCCAGTAACCATCAAATTTATTGCTTAAATATAACGGTTAAACTCCTTAACAGTACAATTTAAACAAAAAAAATGACAGATTGACAGTTATTTTAAATATCTATAAATCTATAAAATAAATCTTGTTTTTTTTCTTTAAAAAAAAAACTACTTTTAGTCCCTGCATGTTTCTTTTAGCGTTTCAAGTTTATATATTTTTCTCCATCTCTAATGTTAATACCTACAACATTGATGTGACACAAATAATGTTAATAATATTGATATATCAATTAAGAATTTATATATCAAATTGATGTTGACATAGGTTTTTTAATGGGCAAAAATTTAAAAACAAAAGCCTATATCAGATGAAATAAAAACATTGACATAAATTTTTGAATAAGCAAAAATTAAAAAAAAACTAACATCAAATGAGATAAAGATGCTGGCATAGATTTTTTAATAAGCAAAAATTTAACAAGTCCAGGTCAGCATTTGTATTTCATCTGATGCATTTTTTTTTACTCATTAAAAAAATCCACATCAGTATCAATTTGACACTTAAATACAAAATTAATAGTATTATTTGACAGATTCACATTATTAACACAATTTATACAACATCAACATCGACCAACATTTGCACAGAGAAAAGTATAAAAATCTAAAATATTAAAAAAAAAAGTACAGAAATTTTTACCAAAACTTAAATAAAATGTAAGAATTAAAAGTAATGTTTTTTTCTTTTTAAAACCTCAAACCTCGTAACATAATACATGTTCCAAAGAAACAAACCAAACAACAATGTACAAACATACTACCCAACATCCATAAAAACAAAGTCCTACAACTTTAATTCATTTCAATTAACAAGTTCCTTGTACATAAACAACAAATTTCCAACATTTCAACAAAAATCCACAACAAAACGAAAGTAGTCAATCTCACACCAACTAGCCAAAGTGCAATGGCAAAATCTTTATAACTCCACCCTTTTGAGTTTTGCCAACTTGCACGCCACAATTTATACGCTAATCCTACATAAACAAAAACCTAGCTTGTTTACAAAACACAGTACTACTCAAAAAATTATGCACAGACACCCTGCCATTAAAATGGTAACTTTTGATAATTAGTTAATCTAAAAAATTATAAAAAATAACTTAAAAATTACAAATAAAATATTCCAAAAGTTACAAAAATTTTTTATCTTTATTTCTCTAATCCATTCAATTTTATTTTTTTTCTAGGAAAGAAATGGGACTTAATATTTTTTTTTTTCACTTCCTTTTATGGAATGTTCAGAGTTTATTATTTAATTAATCGTATCAGGATTTGACACTTGTCCTCCTCCTAATCTTCAGTACAGGCTGATGGATCATCTAGTAGGCTTCCTTTGCCCTAGTTTCCTCCGCTACAACCGAAATTGAGCCATCTAGAGAAGATGGAATTTAATCGAATACGTGAGTTCTAGATGAAAACATAATGAACATGTTTGAGTACATGTTTTCATAACAGTTTTTTTTTTTTTTTGGTTTTGAAAAACAAAAATTAAATAAATAAATAAAAACATGTTAAAAAATGTGTTTTTTAATATCTATTCTAAAAAAGAAAAAAGCTATAAGTTGTTATGAAAAACTAAAAAAACAAAACATCCTTTTAATATTTTATTACCTTTTGTTTTGCAAAATTAAAAAAAGACAAAATATTTAATAAAATAAAGGACAAGCCTGCAATAAAAACAATTCCTAAATGAACCCAGTCCATCTAATAAAAATATGGTATTTAGACATTAATAATAGTTAAAAAAAAGATAAAAAATTAAATAATCATTCAATTATATAAATAAAATAATTAAAAATAATGATATATAAAATTTTATTTAATTAAATTGTTATAATTTTGTTAAATGAACCATGAATAACGTAATATACTAAATCTACCTAAAAATTTCTCATTAGCACTATATACTGAATATACTTTTATTTAATCAAATCAAGATATGTGAATTTTAATATATTAATAATATTAATAATAAGACTTTGTTATAAATTAAATAATTTATAAAAGATGCACATATCTTGAATTAACTAAAAACAAGTACTTTAAATATATAAAGCTGAATATATAATTTTTTTCACTAAAATAAATAATTCTTTCAACCTTTATTTCACAACTTTAGATATTTTTATTTTTTGTTATAAAATTGTTCTAAGAACATAAAAACAGAAAGCAGGATCAAACCAGTCCTAAGTCATGGAAAGTTGTTTCTTCTAATTTCGAATAGGAAATGATGATACAAGAAGCAGATAGCAGACAACCTATGTCTAATACAGGGACCCCAGTGTTCTATCTGTACAATATTAACACAAAACAAAGAAAGTGGCGAAAGAAATGCCATTCCTCCGAAGTAGCTTGCAAGGCTCTAAAACCTTCGTAATTCCCAGCAACGCAGCAACAATGGACGACACATAACCAAAATTTATACTCCATCTAGTCTCATGTAAGAAACAAATAACTAACTCACATGGATTAATAAAGTTGGTTAAAAAGCAGCTGAAGTTCTACCAAATAAAATATATTTTCTAACAACACCCTTATTTAATTCCCACTTAACATGCATATGGAAGCTAAATGGGCGTCTCGTACATACAATATTATTTTTTTTCTTGGGGGTGGGGGGGGGCGCACAGGATTGGAATGTTACGATTAACATGCCAGACAATACTTGTTTGTTTCTTATATTTAAGACCAAACCAAGCCTAAAAAAAATCTCATATATTCTAATCATTATGGCTTGACAATAATCAAACCACGCAGGTATTCTAACTTCTAAATATCCCATTCCTGTTGGTTACAACTCAACTATTTCCTAAGCATACAGCTAACGGTTTCCAGTGTCAGCACAAGGAACATCAAGTTTCAACAAGGACCCTATAGGAATAATACAAATATTCTTCAATCAACCGGTTTCAGGGTAAACAAGAGAATATTGCTCACGTGTATAGATAATTTTCTCAATCACAAGTGTTAGCAGAAGCAAGAACAAAAACAAAATATCCAGTATTACACTTGATACAAATACTCCCTCCACTCAGTATTATAAGACACTTTTAACCGAATTATACCCTCTAATGAATTGATTAATTGTCTTTACAATTACACTCTCTTTCTATGTTTATCCTTATTTAAAATAAAATGTCTCAATTAAAAAAAACCTTATTAATTACACCCCTTAATTAAGGGAATTTTTGAAAGAAGAAAAAACTCATTAATTACATCTTGAAAGACCCAACATGCTTTATATTTTTTAATATGATTCAATGAAAAAATGCCTTATAATATTAAATGAAGGGAGTAAACTATAGCATTTTAGAGATGAAATGGAAGCGACCATTACAATTAAGATTCAGTCTCATCTCATGTTATGCGGTCCACAAATTGAATTCCCAAGGTAGAGTGGAAACGACACATAACACATGCATATTAAAAAGCCCGTAGCTTCTTTACTTTCCTCTTCATTTTCCACTTGTGCTAAAATGCTACAAACATGCAGTGACATAATAACCAAAGAATAACTGGCAATTCAACTGAATAGAGATAGATGATAGGACTTTGAAAAGAAAATACAAGAAAGATATGGTTACACATTGTCATTCAAATCTAAGAAAAATTCTATCCATAGATATTGTCAATGTGCACTATAAATGATGTAAAGTCAGTATAATACTAAGATACAGAAGCAGAATTATAGACACACAAGTGAATAATTGAAAGATTATCCACAAAGTAATTTAGGTTCTGTTACAATTTGAGCAGGCTGATATCAAGTGTACTTTGAAAGGCAAAACCCAAAATCTAAAAGACTCAAATGTTGTTATACAAGTTAAAATTATTAACATTTAATCTTGGGAGATCTTAGAGAGGTACATTGACTTATACATCGAAGTGGCATATGAAGGAGACAATTCAGATGAGATGGAGTACTAGTGCCAGGAAGTATAGCACAAGAAACAATTATGTTCATATCAGGGTTCTTACTCAATCTAGGATAAAGTTGGTAATTCATAAATTTACAATATATAAGTATATATACACCATAGTTTTAAACGAGCAAGATTGTTTGAGTAGGAAAACGAAATAAAAACGAGAGAAACACAATAAACAATGAATAAACCAGTGCTCAATTGAATTCAAATCTGATGAGAATGATTTCAAACAAGTCATCAAATATATATTTTGGCTACCTCTCCTCAAATGTAATCATGACAATAAATGTAAAACATATACAACACTTACAGACTCTATAAGATGAAGCCATAAACTAGATTGCAACATTCACTATCTCTTTTTGATCCTCATGTCACTGCATGGGATCCGAACAATTGGAAGACTGATATAGCCATAATGTTTTTGAAACATCATGCAAACTAGTTTCTATTATTATTTAATGGGAGTACATCAAGCATATAGCCAAAGCGTGGGTGGTTGAAATTCCTTATACCAATTGTTTACATTACAAACAAAAACAATTAATTTGCAAAAACAATAAAAGAGAGTTAAAAAATACCGTAAATGCCGTTAACTCAGCTGGGAGAAACAGAAATTTCACTTAATTCCTTCTGTCTAAGATATTGGTGCAATATGGCAAGCCTTGCAGTTTCAAACGCAAAGTATCCCAGGGCCGAAAAGCAAGCACTATGAAGAACTCGAGGACCCATCCCTCTAGTCAACCCAATCCAACTTTCTTCCTTCAAAATTTGCTTCACAGTATCCGAAACCCCACTGTACATAGCAGCAGAAACTTTATTCATAGCTTCCCCATGAACCTGAGTCATCAATCTGGTCTTGACCACATCCAGTGGTGTAGTAAGAGAAGCAGATATTGCCCCAGCAAGTGCCCCACAAAGGACACTCTGAATAGGCTCCAAATGATTCTTTTTCGTCGTACGCAATACTGCAGCTTTCAGATACTCAAATGATGAATAACTCAAAACCCCAGCAGGCAAATTTCTCAGTAATGTAGCAGAGTACCCTGCATACAGACCCAATATACCATCTTTCTCTAAAATTCTCAACAAAACCTCCCAAGACCTTCCTTTAGTAGCTCCAGCTTGCATTCGCTGGGTGATCAACTCCTTTGGGACCATTATTGCGGAAGACATTATATTGCCCATTGCTCCAGCCGTTGGTGGAATCAGAACCGAAGGATACTTCTCGAATCTCGACAAGAACGACTTTCCAAACTCACAAGTACCAAAATACACTGCCGAGGAAGCGGTGGAACCAACAATCACCGCCGAAACACCACTGTAAAACCCTAGAATCCCCTTTGTTTGGAAGGTCTTAACAATGGCATCGAAAGCATTCTTATAGATCTCAGACGCACCTTTGGTTTGCATCTTGGTCTTGATGGTATCTAGCGGGTGCAGGCAGACATAGGTGAATGCTCCGGCAATGCCGCCGCCAGCTGCCCCGATAAGGGCTCGTTCGAAGACCGACAGATTCTTCATCAGGGTTTGAACCTTGGGCCTGTTTCTTGAACTGGGTTTCAGAAATTTCTGGGATGTAGTCATCGTGTGGGTCTGAGTGGCCATGGAGGTTGAAGCGAATGTGAGATTGGGAATGCGACTGTCGCGAAACTCGAATCTGTTCGTCTCATCGGAGAAGCGAGTGATTCTGTTGAAGTAGTTTAAGAGGCCAGTGAAGTCTGTGAGAGTTGAAGTGTAACAGAGATTTGGGGATGGAAGGCCAAGAGAAGCCGAGATACTGGCCTCCATTGCAATTATGCTACTGCTTCGCTGCTCATCAAGACAAGGGAATCTGAAGAGAGAGGCAAAATAGGGTTTTTATAATTGGAAAATGAATAACTGAGCAATTGACAACTTCCTTTCTTGGGCCACGCCAACGAACAACTGCCAGTTTGCATATTGTTCAAAAGTTAGCAAATTTACCATTGAAAGTTAATTTGAGTGATAAGTGAATTGATTTTGTTTAAATAAAATCTTGAGTTTGAATCTTGTATATATGTAAAAAAATTCTTACGGAGAGGCTCACCCACTAAAGTTTGGTGTGTTATTCGGGTTAAATCTGAATATAATCGAGGTGAAATTTCAATAAACTAGGTGGGCAACCAAAAAAAAATGTTAGATAAATTTACAATCATAACCAAATTTTGACCTACAATTAGGGGTGTACATGGGTAGGGTTGGGCTGGACAGAAGCTTGCCTGATGCCCAGCCCAAAGAATGTTTTGCAGTCCAAAGCCCAGCCCTGCCCACAAAATGCCCCATTAGTTTGGGCTGGGCTGGGCTGACTGCGTAGCTTTGTCCAACCCATCAAATAATTACCCTGCCCATTAAATCACAACTCTTTTTATCATTTTGAAATAAAACTTTCACAAATCAACAATAATCCTATGCATCAACTCAAAATAGCATCCATAAAATCAAAAACCATAAATCCACAATAATAATGACGCCACAATATCTAATTATCCATAATTCAACACCCTACTTGAAAACAAGTCTTGGCACAATATCAAATTATCCATAATTGAATCCAAAATAACAGCTATGATCATTGAAAACAACAAATTTTACAAAAGCTTGGAGTATCATATGAGAAACAGCAATTTGAAAGAGTAGACTCCAATTCACAAAAGACTTCTTCCCAACTCCCAACCTTCATGAATGGAAGAGAAAAAAAATGTCATAACTAAACAGATTAAAATCCTTATTCAAGGCAAATGCATAGTAAATCTTGAATGGAGTAAAAGGAAGCTCACATACAAGCCAACATTTGCTCTGGAATACATCAGATCTGCCCTCCTCTAGATAAAAAGGGTCAAAAGAAATGGAATCTGCAATAGCCAAGCATAACTTTGGTAAATAGCAAAGCAGAATAAAAGGGGCCAGCAGGGGGCATGCATGCATAAGGGACCTATGACTAGTGTCCACTTCATCCAACTTAACCAAATTTACACACTTGTTATTTAATTTTTCAAAGAGTTAATAAAGGGTCAAGATATACTTGTAAAGAAATACTTTAATCAACACTAGCAGCCGCATTCTCCCCTCCAAGTGTTGCATCTAAAGACAAAAAAAATTACATTAATATAAAAACTAAAATAAAGGGTATATATGTGCATGTGTAAACTTTAGAAAAAAAATGTTACTTATAAGTTGAATAATATTTTCTGTCTCATTAAAGTTATCGAACTCATGAAGCTTATCAACCAACTCAGAGAGAGATTGCCTACTTTGCAGCCAATTTTGCCCACAAATCGATACTTCTGTCATTTTAGGAGATAAAGAGCTCCTATATTGATCAACTACACGTCCACCAGTACTAAATGCAGACTCAGAAGCCACTGTAGAAACTGGCATAGCCAATACATCTCGTGCCATGTAGGAGAGAATTTTATATTTTTTAGAATTTGCTTTCCACCATGATAGTATGTCAAACTCAGAATCAGATGATGAGATTTCAGCTCTAGAATCAGTTGCAAGATATCTATCTAGCTCACTTTGTGGATCTATTGAAGTTGTTTTCTTCAAAGACTCTAACCACATTGCCTCTAGATCCTCAATGTTGTCGTCGTCATCATCATCAAGAAAGGGCAATGAACTTGTAGGTGCATTACTAGCATGGGTAGGCCCTGATTCAGTAGAAATCCCAACAGAATACTCATCAAACAATCGATACAAACAAGTTTTGACCTTATCCATCATCAATGCACATTCTTTAGGGTTACTGAAAAGGAGTTCAAACATGTGATTTACATAAACTAATTTGTACCGAGGATCTAAAATCACAGCCAGAATCAATAATGGATTCATATTATCTGCCTGACCCCAATACTTATCAAACTTCATATGCATCTTAAAGGTCATATTTGCCAAAAAAGTATTACTACTGTTTCCAATATGCTTTTGCAACATCTGCTGAACATGAGCAATTTGATGGAAACAATCATTTGATGTTACAATAAGGGAGCTTGAAAATTTCAAAGTTATGTCATAAAAGACCTTTAAGAATTTGATAAAGACTTTAGCATTTTTCCAATCATCAAGAATAGGGCCAAAGAAAACACCTCCCTCTTGCTTAGAGTTAAAAAATGAAATATAGTCATCATCTTCATCACGCATCCGCTCAAACACCTTTTGAAACTTCATTGCAGCTTCTAACATCAAATATGTTGAATTCCATCGAGTACTAACATCAAGGCAGACAAGGCTCTTAGTTTCTATTTTTTTCATATTTAACCCAATTTTTAAACTTTAGAAACCGTGAAGGAGAAGACCGAACATATCTCACAGCACTTTGAATGGCTTCAAAACTATCTTTCATGTGTTTGATGCCTTCATTGACCACCAAATTAAGAACATGTGCACAACATCTTAATTGTAGATAGTCTCCTCCACAAATTAAGCCCTTCCAACTTCTCAACCTCCTTTTAAGATATCCCAAAGCTGTGTCATTAGATGAAGCATTATCCATAGTTATGCTAAACACCTTGTCAATACCCCAATCCAACAAGTATTGCTCAATGGTCTTCCCTATAGTCTCACCTTTATGATTTTCAATCATAACAAAACTTAGGATCCTTTTGTGAAGCTTTCATTCATTGTCAATAAAATGTGCCGTCAAATATAAGTAATTGAAATTTTGGTTTAACGTTCAGCAATCTGTCGTGAGACAAACACACTTAGAACATTGTTTCAAGATCTTCTTTAGCACTTTTACTTCACCAAGATATAGCTGCCACACATCCCTTGCAATTGTTGTTCTTAAAGGGATTGGAAAGCGAGGTTCAAACTCATTCAATAATTTCTTAAATGTAGGCTTCTCAATAATTCTAAATAACTGCTCATCACAAATAATAAATTCAGCAAGAGCTCTTCTACACCTCTTTTCATCATATAAGTGAGTGATTATAGATTTTCCTTGCCTACTTGTCCCACCAAATAATAGATTTATCATTGCCTGTTTCTTATCTTTGGTGGCCTTGTGAGGGTTCTTTAGACACTTTGGGATGTGCCTCAACAAAGAATGTGTCCCATGACGTAATGGATCAGAAGCATAAGTCGTGTGGCAATAGTTGCATGCTGCTTTATGCTCCCCATTAGTTTCTTCTATAGGCAACCTAATAAAGTAATCCCACACCTCTGATGTATAGTTGGGTTCCTTTGCTTTCCTTTTTCGACCCCTTCTCTTAGTATCTGTCACTTGTGTGACATGTTCTGTGGGTGTTTGGGTGGGAGGAGCACAGGGGGGAAGAGAAGGAGGTGCAGTAGGAGGGACAGATTGAGGGGGAGGGGCAGGGGTTGCTGTTTGTGTAGGGGGAGTATGGGTTGGGGTTTGTGTAGGTCCAGTAGAGGTTGGTGAATGGAAAGGTCCAGTAGGGGTTGATGTTTGAGATGTTTCAAGGGGCGATGCAATTGAAGCTTAATCCTCCATACTAGCATAAAAAAGTACAGAACCATAAATTATTAGTTAAGAAGAATCTAATCCAAGTCCAACAATAATTCACACACATATAACTCCAAAATGTAACCCAAGTCTAACAACAATTCACACACACATATATCCATTTAGAAGTGCAAATCTAAGTTCCAACAATATATTCAAGTCCAACAATAAATTCACACACACATAAATGTAATCCAAGTCCAAAATGTAATCTAATTCCATCAATTCAATTCTTTCTCTTGACTTCTTGGGCAAAATTTGGCATAAGAAAAATCAAGAGAAAATCTAACTCTGGGTAAAAGAGAGCTTCAAAATGCATGTAGCATGGAATGTGATATGTACTAATGCAACCAAAAATAAAGGAAATTGAGAATAATGCCTTACAAAATGCGATATAATTGCACTGAGGTATATATGCAACCAACCCAAGCAGTAGTTAAAGAAAGCTTCAGATGGCCGTAACAATGCCAAACCACATGTTCAAAAATCAGCCTAATGAAAGCAGACAAGGTTTTAAACTAAACATCTAAGCTACTATTTCTTAGCAAAAATACATTAGATCAATTTTGAGCACAAAAATTTCACAACATAAACTAGAAACCTCCTCAAGGGAAAGAATCTAAAAACAGGGCTACTCAAATCAAATATTTCTGCAATACAAAGAACCATGACAAGATTATGGAAAAAAATTGAGAGAAAATCTTACCTTGGGCAGACGAGACTGTGAAGCTGGGCAAACGAGACCTTCTGTGCGATGAGAGCAACAGTCTGTGAACTTAGACAAACGAGAGCTTCTGTATGACTTCGAGAGACCGGAGAAGGAAGTTAGGAACGGCACTATGCTGTGCAGCTGTGGAGATTGGAGACTAGAGACTGGAGACAGGTAGAGCAAGAGATGTTGAGTTCAGTCAAGGACTCAAGCTCCTTCACACAATCGCATGCCGCACTGCCACTCGCACTCACACACGGGAGAAAAGACGAAGACTAAGCATCAATTTACAGATGGGAGGGAAGGGGATCATCGCACTCACATGCCATTGATGGGATTTGGGAAATGATCTGACTTCATTCAAGCTTAAGAGCTCAGACGGCAAAGGAGATTGGAGAGGAAAGAAGATTAGAAGAGCTCAATCGCGATTGCCTGTCACTCACTCGCTCTCACCTGTCGCTCACTCGCTGTCACCCCTGTGAGTCTCAAGTCTCAACAAGCCGTGACTCTCAACCTCACTGTCTCAGAGACTCAGACGAAGCTAAGGAAATCCAGAACCAGAAATGGCAGATTAGCTTGGCTGGCGTGACATGACAACAAAAAAATTCCAACCCTAATCTTTTCCCTCCCTCTTTTTATCTAACCATGAGTCC